TTCTCACTTAAGATGAAGGCTTACAGAACAAAATAGTTTCTCATTTAACAGTTACTACAAATGTTGCCCTATGACAACGGTTAACAATCTCACAACACATCAACAGTATCCTTACTCAATCTTGGGTTCCCTATCACCAGCTTCCTTGTCCCCTTCTGCCTTCTGGCCCTTGTCACTGGCCTCCTCTTGAATGTTTTGTTTTAAAATTTTTATAACTAATTTTTTAATGAAAATGTGCACAGCAAAACACACACAAATTTGCACAATTCCTACATGTACAATTCAGTGACATTGATTACATTCTTTATGCTGTGCAATCGTTCTTGCTGTCCTTTTTCCAAGTTATTGCCCCCCACCACTAACATAATAGTCTCAATGTATTTTAGTTTAAGGTTGTAAACATTTATTCAGCACCTACTGTGTGCCAGAATCTTTTTTTTTTTTAACTGTTGTGGTTTAAGTGAGAGTTTACAATTCAAGTTAGTCTCTCATACAAAAATTTATACATACATTGTTTTGTGACCCTAGTTGCTCTCCCTATAGTCTGACAGCACACTCTTCCTTTCCACCCCAGATTTGCCGTGTCCTTTCAACCAGCTCCTGACCCTGTCTGCCTTCTCATCTCGCTTCCAGACAAGAGCTGCCCAGTTAGTTTCATGTATCTACTTGAGCTAAGAAGCACACTCTTCACAAGTATCATTTTATGTCCCATAGTCCAGTTTAATCTTTGTCTAAAGAGTTGTCCTCAGGAATGGTTTTAGTTTTGAGCTAACAGAGAGTCTGGGGGCCATGTCTTTCAGGGTCCCTCCAGTCTCAGTCAAACCATTAAATCTGGTCTTTTGACTGGAATTTGAGTTCTGCACCCCACTTTTCTCCTGCTCCATCAGGGACTCTCTGTTGTGTTCCCTGGCAGGGCAGTTATTGTGGTAACTGGGCCTGTGCCAGAATCTTTGCTATTGTTAGAAATACAGAAATAATTGTGACAGAGCTGACCCTTGATTATACACAGCAGGCCACAGTGAGCACCAGGAGAGGCATTGAGTGTCCTGGGAGATTAGAAGAGGAAGAGGTGTGGAGCTTAGAGAAGGCGTTGTGAGTGTAGGAGAGAGGATCACAGTGTTCCTTATTGTTTCTCAGAGGTAATGAAGCAAAACATTAAACTTTGGCTATTTTAGTCATTTGTCATTTTCCTGCATATGTGCAGGATATCCTCATCTCCCTGTGTGTGTCCTGATGAAAGTAGAGGCCTGGAGACATGGTGTGGAATGATTTCCTCCCTGGGGTTATGAAGAGCAGGAATTATCGGTGAATGAGAAATGGAGTGGACTCTGCTTTGTATCAACATTGCTCTTCTTTTTAACTCCCGGTTCTCAATAAGTGTTTTCTTTCCATTTATATCTACTGCATTCCTCATTTGGCCCAGACAGTCAAGCCAGAAAGTTCACCCAATTTGTTTTTACCAAGAAAAGCTGTTAATCTTTTTTTTTTTTTTTTAATTGTACTTTAGATGAAGGTTTATAGAACAAAATAGCTTCTCATAAAAGTTAATAGACATATTGTTTTGTGACGTTGGTTGCCAACCCCACGACATGTCAACACTCTCTCCTTCTCGACTTTGGGTTCCCCATTACCAGCTATCCTGACCCCTCCTTCCTTCTTGTCCTTGCCCCTGGGCTGGTGTGCCCATTTAGTCTCATTTTGTTTTATGGGCCTGTCTAATCTTTGGCTGAAGGGTGAGCCTCAGGAGTGACTTCATTACTGAGCTGAAAGGGTGTCTGGGTGCCATACTCTCGGGGTTTCTCCAGTATGTATCAGACTAGTAAGTCTGGTCTTTTTTTTTTTTTTTTTTTGTGAGTTGGAATTTTGTTCTACATTTTTCTCCACCTCTGTCCAGGACCTTCTATTGTGATCCCTGTCAGAACAGTCGGTGGTAGCCAGGTACCATCTAGTTGTGCTGGACTTAATCTGGTGGAGGCTGTAGTACTTGTGGTCCCTTTGTCCCTTGGATTAATCTTTCCCTTGTGTCTTTGGTTTTCTTCATCTCCCTTGCCCCAAATGGGGTGAGATCAGTGGAGTATTTTAGATGGCTAAGAAAAGCAGTTAATCTTACTTTTCTTTACATATCATTATATAATAAGCATTTTCTATGTTATTAAAAATTATTTGAAATCCTAACTTACAGCAATTGCATAATTTACCATATATGGTCATAACATAGCTTGAAACATTTATATTACTTACAGGGTTTTGGTATTTAACTTTATAATGAACTTCCTTATATATAAATCTTTGTTTATTTTGTTCTTATATATCCCTAAAAGAAGTACTGAGTGACTATTATCTATTAAGTATATGATATATATCTATGTATATATATAAATTAATTTGATATATGTTATTAATTTGCTATTCAGAAAAGCTGCACTAATTTGTATTCCAACAACACTTTATGAGAGGGACAGGCAGTTTTCAAATGGGTTTCCTCTCACAATTGCTTTTTTAGACAGAATGTCTAGCTCATGTGGTATCTTTGACGATACTGTCCAGCTGATTATAAGGTCACTTGGGAAGTAGTACTGAAAATTGAAAAAACAGTGTAAGTTTTCCTGGAGTACAAAAGAAGATAAAACTACTAAAGACCACCCTTTTTCTTTTTTCCACAGGACCATCCGAGTATGGCTGAAAAGAGACAGTGGTCAGTACTGGCCCAGCATTTACCACACAATGGCCTGTAAGTAGGTGAACTGTTCTACTTGAGAAACATATCTTCGTTGTCTTTGTTGATTTAAATTCCGAAGTGTCTGATGAAATAATGCTACTTGATTTCAGAATGAGTTTCTTAGTTGCCAAATTCTCTCACAGGCTGTGGTAAACTGCAGGAAAACTGCTTTTCCTTTGCACAGGAAGTTGGGGCATACTGGCTTAACTGAAGTGGACTTGAGCAAAGCTGAAGAGGGGGGAGAAAAAAGAGGAGAAAGAGCTTGTTTTCTTCCCTCCTGGTTTTCTTTTGCGTTTATTTGATATTTTTGAATTAATTATTTGGCCAGCTTAATAGTAATATACTAAGTATTAAGTAACTTTGTACTTAGTAATAGCTGAAATTGACACTAAAAGAGCACTGCGTACCCCCATAGCTTTAAACCAGCCTTAGGCATACATCACCTTGCTCAACCTTTTAACAAACTTCTGGGTACTGTGGAGAGATTTGGTCCAAGGTGCAACGGAATCTAAATAGAGAATTGTCTCAGTACTCAAGTGTGTTCTAAAAATAAATCTACACGATAAAGCTTCTGCATTGCGATTTTAAAACAGCCCCGGCTGTTTCATGATAGCCCATGTGACATAAATTACATTTAATCTTTAGCCCTTTGTGCATATCTAGACAGCATCGCCACCCTTGTCTCCCACTTCTTTTCTTTGGCCTTTATTGAAAAGCCCATCGTGTGCTCTGGGCCCACACCCACCCTCAGCTTTGGTTCCTTAAGCCCTGCAGAGGATGCCTGGATCTCACCCAGACCCAAGCTGAGGTTGAACCTTGCTCTCCCAAATTGCCGTATGGGAAGCTTCCACAGCTGCTAGTTTCCTTGTGGTTTTGGAGCTTGATGAGGGACTTTCCTTGCTGAAGGATTTGTGTATACACAAGAGAAAAAAGGCTTGCTGGTTTGTTACTGCAGACTATTGTAAGGTTTTCTAAAGAGGACCTCTTGACAGATATTTCAGACACACCATTCATGGCTTTCTTAAGGGTTTTTCCAGAGGCTATAGAGGTTGTTATAAACACAGAACATCCAATTACTCAGCAAATTCCAAATCATTAGTTAGCGTTTTCTCATTTGCACTTATATCCCAGTGCAGTGCTTGGATCCAGAAATCATTGTCACAAGAGCTGATCATTTACCAGAAGGGTCATTTGTTCTACCTCCCATGGATAGCTTGGGCAGACCAGTCAATGGCTTTGTCCTTTGTTTAATAATCATTTAAGAGAACGAAATAAGCTTTTTTGCAATATTAGTATATAAAAGTAACTATTACAAAAGGAACTATAAAACTTCACAAAAAGTAGGTTAGAAGCACTACCTGAAAACCTGATCACAGTTTATTGTCCCAGGCAGTTGTATCCCCTCGTTACTCGTCTGCGTGTACTGTGGATGGATAACATTACTTTTTCACTCTGAAATACGAAGTGACCAACGTCTTAGAAAAGGTGTCTGTAGACTCCATTTGACAAATTTACTGAACGTTTGGAACAAGGCAGAGGCAGTGGGACACTCTGGGTCTCTGAATCCACCCTTCACCTAACTGAGGGAAAAATATGACTCCGTTAGGCTGGTGACTTCTTCAGTGTGCCAGTGCTGATAGCTCTGATGGCCGGAAATAGCAGCGGCCTGAGGAACTCCCACCAGTGCTGGGGAGTGTTTTGTTGTCTGAGTGGAAAATCTTGTTAATGCTAATGCTATTGCTGGTACGCCTCCACCCCTGGCTTCCTCCACACTTCATATTGTGGCGATAGCTTAATCTCTTGGAGGCCTCACCCTGGGAGTTCTTGCTCACTAGAAGAGAGAGACGGAGCCCTGGTTTCACAATGGTTAAACGATCAGCTGCTAACCAAAACATTGGTGGTTCGAACCCACCCAGTGGTTCCACTGGAGAAAGACCTGACAATCTGCTTCCATAAAAATTGCAGCCAAGAAAACCCTATGGGGCAGTTCTACTCTGTCACATGAGGTCGCTCAGAGTAGGTATTAACTCTGCAGCACCAGAAGAGAAAAAGGTAGAGAGAGACTGAGAGAGGGACTGAGATAGATTTTGTCCTATGTTTAGTCTCAGTAGTAAGTCTTTGGCTTGTATTTTTCAGAAGTATTTAGTACAGCTTTGTAATTAACCACTCTCCCAGGGCACCAAAACCCTAGCAATTGAAAAAAATACCGCTTGAAGCATGTGCTCTCTCTCGGTCTCTCTGCTCTTCTCTCTTGGCTTTTAGATCTTGCGCACCTGGCTCTGGCTCACTAACTTTGACTTCACTTTCCCCTCCTGAAATAGCTCGCGTCTAGGAAGCAGTGGCTGGTGGTCACGGCCACAGTGCCTCTGCTGTGGGTGGCTGACACCTGCGTGTTTTACCTATACATGTTCAGCCTGTTGGTTCCAGATGCTGCCTTACGGCCTCCATCTGGTGCTGCATCTGCTGATAAAACTGCAAGGCACCGCCAGAAGAAAACAGTGAGTGAATTATGAGGAATAACTGCTCATCTGTTAGGGCGACTGTTGTATTTCAAAATTAAAAACAAAACGAGAGGAAAAGTGCCATATTGGTTCTAGAACTATCTGCAGATGACCCAACTTCGGACTTCCTAGTGGTCACCACCAATGTCAACTTTGTTCCAGTGACCTGACACCATGGTCAGTAAGCCAGACTCAGTAGATTGCTACACATAGGCCAATTATGTTTCAAAACATTATCTCATATGACAAAAATAACTTTTAGAATCTTGATAAAAAAGGCAACTCTTAGTTTCTGTAAGTATCTACTATGTGCCACATGCTTTTTTGGTCATATCACTTTATGAAATAATCCCACCAGCTGTATGAGGTAGATGATGTTTTCACCATTTTACTGATGAGGAAACTGAAGCATGAGTGGTTAAGTCAGTTGCTTGTGGTTGAAATTCCAGTCGATGGTATTCTCTGACAACCAAACTATGCTACCCCCTACAGTTATGGGGTGGGTGCCCAGACTTTTTCTGCAGAGGGCCGGATGGTAAATATTTAGGCTTTGCAGACCATACAATCTCTGTGGCAACTACTTACCTCTGCCATTGTACCACGGAAGCAACCATAGACAAAACATAATGAAAGGAAGTCGCTGTGTTCTACAAAACTTATTTACAAAGCAAGTTGCTGACTGGATATGGCCTGTGGCCTGATCTAGAACTTGAATATACAATATTGGATTGCGTTGATGCTTTTTTAAAAGGCCACTGATTTGAAAGATAATTTGTTTTTTGCTTGTTTATAAAACTACATGAATATCCAAAACCTTTCTTCTTTTTTTTAAAATTTATATTGCTTATTTCACTAGAAGCTTCCCTTCTAGGAAAAAAGCCAGAACATCTTTATATACAGAACCAATAAACTAGGGAAGCTTTTTTCTTCTTTTTTAATGTAGCCTCATAAAATTATTCAGCACATTGCAATTTTTAAACAAAAGGGGAACTTTTATGTATTTTTTGTTATAGAATTGGGGTTAAAAGAAGTGAAAGAATTGAAAAGAATTCTTTTAGCGAAAGAATCTTCAAACAAATGCATTAAAATATAGTACCAATTGAAGACTAAGCAAAAACGATGACAGTGAATCTTTGAAATCGTCAAACCATAATTTGATTTGTCAAAGATAATTTGCATGCATGGTTATCAAAGAGCACTTGGATTATATGAAGTTATGTATTTTTGTGGTTTTACTTAAAAATGATCGTTCTTTATAATCTCAAACATCAATGTGGTAGATAGGATGTACAGGCGTATAGTCAATTCTTATTGTTCTCTGTAGAGATGATTACTCTGGGTACCTACCTTCCACTGCAGCTGAAGCAGTCTCTCTACCATCTGATCATGCTGCTAGCTGTGTTTTGGGTACAATCCAGTATTGTAGTTTACTTTCTTGTTTTCGATGGTGAATATCAGCCCACTATAGAGAGAACTTTAAATTGCGCTATTTTCAAAAATGGTGACTTCATTTATAGTTGTTTTGTTTCCTGTTACTTTATTAGAAGTTTTATTTCAAAGTATACTCGAGTATTTTTTCCTGGCATGCATTTCCTTGTTCTTCCACGGTCAACTAAAATTCTTTAGGCTAAAATGCACCTAAACACTTCTTTTTCCAAGTGCTCCATTTTCTAAAACACTTTAATTCTGATTTTTACTGGAAGGAGATAATTTAGCATTTCTCCTTTCTGGAAATCATTCTCTTGCCCTTGTTTTCTGGAAGAACTGTAGGTAGAACACGGAATGGGGTAGGTACACAAGAAGAGGCAGGCACTAACCTAATCCCATACACTGCTTTAGACAAAGAAACCTGTCTACACCTCACAACTCTACTTACTGCAAACTGGGTTGTGTGTGTCAGCGTAAAGGGAGCAATTTTTAACCATTGGGGAAAAGAAGTAATCCCAAAATGGCTTTTCTACCTATCCCTCCTCTTGCTTACATATGCCATGGATTGGGAACCCTGATGCTGGGAACCCCTCTTTCTGGTGATTCCAGCTACTCTTTTACCTTAGATGGGGAAGAGTGGCAGGAACAGGATGACCTGCCGTGTGTGTAAGGAGCAGATCTCCCACTGTAAGTGCCAGTCACCAAACTTTTCCAGGCTAAAGGTAGGAGTTTCAATCAGATGAAACTTCATCCAAAATTATAAAAATAATTAAGGTTTTCAAAATTAGGATGTTTCAGCTAAAACAAGAGACAGAACTTTAGTAACATTTTCAGTTTATACCATTATTTACAACATACACACACACATTTTTACGTTCTTTTTTAAACCTAATTTGTACAGCTCTTTTTTATAATATACTTGGGACAAAGACTTAAAATGCTTAGCTTTGCTCTTAATGTTGTCTTTGTCTTTTTGACAGCTCCTTGCTCTACTATGGCTTACCATCATGATAGTAGACGGATATTTGTGGGCCAGGATAACGGAGCCATAATGGTAGGTAGCTTCCAGAATGTATTCATTATATTCTTTATATTGACTTTACCATGTTCACCCATATTAGACAGTTTAAATAAACTTAACAAGTACCTTCTAGTGTTGATTGTTTGTCATAAAAAATGGTTAATTCAGCAATTAATATTAGACCTAAGAATGGATTAATTTCAATTAGTGTTTAATTGTAAACTACTTCCATGGAGTCAGAATGCTGTTGTGATCAATGGTTTGGTGCTCAGGCTAGCCCACAGAGTGTAGCTTTCAATACATTTCCATATGAGCGTCAGGATTATCTTGTCCATTTCTTTAAAAAAGACAGTGGGAATTTTATTAGGGATGGCATTGAGTCTCTAGATCAATTTGGGGGGTACAGATAACCTGACTTACAACAGAGTTCCGTTCCAATGACTCTATCATAAGTCGGTTCTGATGTAAGCCGAGTACCTCATTTTTTTTTTTTTATTTTTTTTAGTTTTCATTATTTTTCCTTTTATTATCAGTATCTTTATAAATCTGATCTTTATTTGTCTTTGGGGGTTGGAAACATTACATATAAACCTACAGATATATTTTAATACATATATAAAAAAATTTACAAATTATAAACATTTACTCCAGTGATGAAGAAGAGTTGGAGGATGTTGGCATTTTGTCAGTTGTGGTAAAAACTCCGCTTGTGGAAGGTTCTGGATCGTCTGGATTATCTCTGGGAATGGGGATAGCATTTCTAATTAAAAAAATTAGTAAAAGTTGTCTGTATGATTCTTTTCTTTTTTTTTCGTATATTTCACAGTAACATCTCATTGCTTCCCAAAGCTGCCTGTCAGTTTTAGCAAAGCGATCAGCATTTGGGTCCATGTTTTCAAGCAGTTGAAGACCCTGATTTAGTTTAGAAAAAACTTCAACTAATGCTTTCACTGTAAAATTTTTTGACTTCTCTTCTTCCTCTTCCTCATTATTTCTTTATTCTTCAACATTTCTTTCCTTTTCAAAATCCATTAAGTCCTGATCCGTCAATTCTCCTTCCTTATGATCTATGAGTTGTTCCACATCAGCGATAGCAAATTCTAAATTCAGCGCTGTTGCCATATTGATGATTTTTCTGCAGATCTCTTCCATCATATTATCCTGAACCAATGCTTGGAGCGTGATCACATAACTCAGTCAGTTTTTCCATATCCCCTGCATGCATTTTTCTGTAATTTCCTCCCAGGAGATGCAGTGTTCTGTCATGTAGGCCTTGGAGTTACTTCTGTAGTAGACTGGCAGCTTATTTTTGTCAGTGTTTTTGAACGCTTGGGAGTTTCCAGAATGGTAAATAAGAAAAGGTTTTAATTTAAATCCAGCAGCATTTCCTTCAAGCAGCAGCATGATTCTGTCCTTAAATGCCTTGAAAGTAGGCATCGACTTTGCCTCTTTGTAAATACAGATCTGTTCTGGCATCCTTTTCCAAAACAAGCCCGTTTCGTCCATGTTGAAAATCTGCTCTGGTAGATATTCTTTGTTTTGCATTGTCTTGTCCAGCCCATCCTTGAATTTTTCAGCAGCTTCGACATCGTCATTTCCTGCTTGTCCAGTTATATACACGATATGTAAGCCAAATCTGCTTTTGAAGCAATGAAACCAACCCTTGCTGATATTAAAGTAATTGTGGTAGTCTTCTCCTTGCTGTTCCTTCAGGTTTTCAAAAAGCCTGCGTGCTTTTGTTTGAATTGTTAGTAAACTCATAGGAGTCCTCTTCTGCATTTGGTCCTCTGTCCAAATCATTAACAGTTTCTCCATCACGTGGATTGACCCTTCCTCTTCTTTTTCAAAATTGTCGATTTTATGCCAGTCACTCCTTTAACTGCCTCCAAAATCCCATTCTTATTCTTAATGATTGTTGAAATGGTCGAACGAGATAGTCAGTCCTTCCACATGTGCTATTTTGCTGACTTTCTTTCCATTATCATAAACCTTAAGGATTTTTATCTTTATATCCATGTCTAGAGCCTTCCTCACCTTCTTTTTTAGATTAGAATTTATAGTGACGTGATTTCTTTTGCTAGACATATTGTTGGGGCTATAAGCAGTACAGTTGTTACAATGTGAGAAACTTGAAAAACTCAGCTTCAAATTAACTACTGATGCTTCTTATGGTAGGCAACAGTGAATAAGATCACGCTATAGGCCTGGTCTACGATGACATCGGTGTCAGTGTCATAACCATGAAGTTGGAGTTGTAACGGTATATGCGCAGTTCAATTGTCCTATGTCTAAGAGTTGAATATTGCCCAACTTCCTATCCATTATGACTCCTGACACCAACACAGACTTCATTGTAGATTAGGCCATAGCCTGCTATACGGCAGTGTTTTAAACAGTAAATCATAACATTGAACATCTGTGAGTGAACATCTGAAGATGATAACATTAGCAAATTATGCGCTGCAACATTGTATATAGTACATATTACTAACGATAAGATGTACCAAAAAAAAGCACAAAAACAGACAATTTTAAGTGTAGTTTGTCATTAACTCGAATGTGTTGTAAGTCAGGGGCTACTTGTATTGCCGTCTTAACAATATTAAGTCTTCCAGTCCATGAACACAGGGTATCTTTCCATTTATCTACGTCTTTAATTTCTTTTCAACAATGTTTTGTAATTTTCAGTGTACAAGTCTTGCACTACTTTTGTTACATTTTTTCCTAAGTGTTTTACTCTTTTTGATGCTATTATAAATGGAATTGATACCTTAATTTCATTTTGGGATTGTTCACTGCAAGTGTATATAAATATAACTGATTTTTGTATATTGATCTTGTATCTTGCAACCTTGTTGAACTTGTTTATCAGTTCTATTTTTTGAGCTGTGTGTGTATGTGTGTAGTCTTCAGAATTTTCTATATACAAGATCATGTCATTTGCAAATAAAGTTGGTCTTCTTCCTTTCCAATCTGGATGCCTTTTATTTTCTTGCCTTGTTATTCCTGATCTTTGAAGAAAGCTTTCAGTCTTTTACCATGAAGTATGATGTTAGCTGTGAGTTTTCTGTAGATGTCCTTTCTCAAGTTGAGAAAATTCCCTTCTTATCCCTTTGATTTTTGTTGAGTGTTTCTATCATGAAAGGGTATTGGATTTTGTCAAATGATTTGCTGCATCTATTGAAATGATCATGTTTCTTTTTTCATTTATTCAGTTAATATGGTGTATTGCATTGATTAAATTTTGCATGTATCATCTTGAGGAATTCTTAGTGTAGCCAAGGGAGCAAAATTAAACAAACAAACAAAAACCTCCCTTGTAGTTGGAGGGAGAGAACATACACAGCGCTCACTCGTGAAGGAAGAGCTGGCTGAAAATGTCACACTGGTCCGCAGCACTTTCTTTATTCAATCTGGTCTCCAAAAAAAATGATAACTCGCGTACAGGTCTGATGAAGGAGGCAATTCATATCATTTTTATAGCTAATCTTATATCCCAAGTCTTGTGATAACTGTTTTTGGATTTTACTGTGCTTCAAAAGTTAAAATCCTTTTACTTTTTAAACCGTAACTATTTTCTAATTGTATATCTTTACTTTCAGGAATTTCATGTTTCTGAAGATTTCAATAAGATGAACTTTATCAAGACCTACCCAGGTAATTAAAATAGATACACTCCCCACACATAAACATATAGATACACACACACAAAACTGGAACACCATCTCTTATGATCAAAATTAGGTTTTCACATTAGCTTTTTAGTTTTGTTTGTCCAGTCTTGTGAGAGGTCGTTAGCTCTTTAGAATTATCTACCATTCTTTTATTGCTCATTAACATTTAAAGTTTTGTATAATATTCTATTGTATGCATGTTTAAGATTTAACTTAACCATTCTTTTATTATTGGGCCTGTGTACTGCTTCTGGAGCCCCAGTGGCACAGTAATGAAGAGCTTGGCTGCTAACCAAAAGGTCGGCAGTTCAAATCCACCGGCCACTCCTGGGAAACCCTATGGGGCAGTTCTACACTGCCGTATAGGGTCAGTATGAGTCGGAATCGACTTGAAGGCAATGGTTTTTTTTTTGGGTACTGCTTCCATTTTTGATAGTGCACACTGTAGTATATGTGTATGTGTTTATCTCCTTGACTTTACTCAGACTCTAAGTCTGTAACTGATTACTTCCTTAAAACAAATTTCCTGAAAGTAATTAGGTCAAATGTTATAAAGTTTTTGATGCTCTTGAGCTATTTTCCAAATTTTTTTGCAATCTCATGACTGATAGCTGAGTTCCTGCTCATTAAGTCTTCACAACATTGTTGCCTTATAATTTTTTTTTTGCCAGTTTGATAGATGAAAAAAAAATAGTTCTCTATTTTAATTTATTTAAGCCTTGTTTAGCGTTGATCATTTGTCTTTTTTTTATGAATGTCTGTTCATGATTTTGCGCATATTCCCAGGGAGTTAACAGTGTTTTTCTGACGGATTTGTAAGAGCCTCCCATTATAAGACTATCAATACTTTAGAACATGTCTGTTAACTATATTTTATCCAGTTTTTTCTTTGCCTTGTAGATTTTGATATTTTTAAACTTAACAAAAGCAAGCTTCTAATGATAAGTTTAGATTGGAGTTGCAAAACCAAAGCAGTTTGATTAAGTTGTGGACTGTGTCTGGCCAGTTAGCTGACTCACATGAAATTTGCCTGGAGGAATAACAACTGGTCTTATTTTATTCACCCTGCCTTCCTAAAATTGTATATCTCGTGTTTGTAGATAACAGCAAAAATTAGTCTAGATGTTTTAAGTGTATTTTTGTGACATTTGGCCTAATTATATGATATAGGGAGCTGATTAGAGACCTTTAATAAGAATGCCAAATTGCCTTTCCCTAGTTATCTGCTTACCTGTTCTAAATTTAAAATAGGATAAGAGCGATACAATTATGATACTTTTTAACTTGGAGTATTTTGGTCGTGTAAACTGTTTTGTGAAGGTGAACTATGACACTTTCCCATCTCGCATTGTTAAATTATGTACAAGCATAACTAGTCTTTGAGCTGCCTTTAAAAAATTAAAACTACAACAAAAACAACAACTTTGAATTCTTAGCTACCGTTTGCATATTTATCTTTAAAATAAGAATGCTTAAGCCCTTTTGGAGTATATACCTAGGAAATTGGAGACCTTTCTTAAATGCCTGATAGATTTTTATCAAAAAGCAGATTCCTTAAAAAAATCATTTCATCTGTGATTAAATTCCTTATTAAATTATTTCCTATTTACACATCTAATGATACTTTTATCTGTATTTTGGTTTTCAAAGTTCTTTATAAGCTATTAGGCAGCATAGATAGTTTTTGCCGTGGTTTCCACCCTTTGCATTTCATTAACTACTAACATTTTAAAAAACATATCAGGGGAACCAATACAGAAATTGCCAACTTTTTTATTTTGCCAACTGAGAGAGTTTAAAAAATAAAAATGGAGCAAAACAAACATTACTTATTTTACTTGATTTCATAAAAGAAAGGACTTTTAAAACAAAACAGCAGAAGGCATATAATCTTAGAAATAGAACAGTTTTTCCCAAGATAGGGTAGTTGACTATTAAGCATTTTTACTACAAACTAGTGTAAACTTTCTCACTGGCCTGAGTCCAACCACTGTAGGTTAGTAGAAAAAGTGTTTGTGTAGAGTCAGGCAGACCCAATTAATTTATCTCTTGTTAGACTTTGGGCATATAATTAACCTGTTGGCTGCTCAGTTTTCTTATCTGAAAATGGGTACCTTGTATTTGTGCAAGCTGGAAATACCAGCAGAGCAGAAAACCCACCAGCATTCTCACTGCCTCAGGTCTCAGCAGATGGTTGTTGTTATTTGAGACTTGGCTTACTCTCGTTTCAGATTAATAGCGATTAGTGTGCCCTTTCAGTTTCAGAATCTTTTGCAAGCATTTACCGGTTCAGGGTAACCTCAGCAGTGGTGAAGCTGATACTCACAAAGGGCTTTGGGAAAATATTCTCTCAGCCCTTCTGAAGCAGCCTGTGTAGCTGAGAGCAGTCTCAGTGGTTTCTCTGTCTAGCCTCTGACTTCATAAATCCGACTGGGCAGTTATTAAACACTTACTACATACTAGGTCCTGTACCAGGTGCTGTGGGAGCCCAGATGAAGTAGAACACAGACCACTGCCCTGGTGTGGCTTTCAATCGACCTAAAAATGCAAATATTTCAGAATTTAGCTAATAGACACAACACTTCCTCATTCTCAGCTCATATTTTGGAATAGAGAAATTTCCAAAACTTTATTGGAACAGTAAATATTCTGTAAACATTAAATGTGTAAACATGTTCTCTTGAGTACAGTAAACAAGTCAATTTTCCAGTCTCTCTTGAACATTACTCTTCAATGATCTGTAGCTTCTAATTGCCTCCAGTGCCTACGACTGTGCATTGGGGTGGGCAGATCACCTGGGCTCTGTTCACAGAGTGCAGGGATTGCCGTGGTAGAATTGTTTAGACTTCGCAGCAAGAGTCTACGGCTGGCCGGCTTGAGAAGCTAAGCCCACGTCTTCACCGTGAAGAATTGTTTCTGCAGATAACATTGCCTCCTGAAGCGTGCAGACTTTCCCTTTCTGTCCCTTCAGCTCATCAGAACCGGGTGTCTGCCATCATCTTCAGTGTGGCCACAGAGTGGGTGATCAGCACCGGCCATGACAAGTGTGTCAGCTGGATGTGCACCCGGAGCGGGAGCATGCTCGGGAGGCACTTCTTCACCTCCTGGGCCTCGTGTTTACAGTATCCTCCCTCTAGAACACGGGGCTGCCTCCTTTCCCAGTACCCGACCGCTTTTCTCAGTATTGAGTTTTGAATCTATCGTAAATTATTGCTTGAGATCCAAAGATTGGATGATTCCTACCTGTTTCGTATGAAATCCAAGAATTTCTGTATCTTCTGTTCTTTGATATAAAATTGGTTTATTGAAAAATAAGAATTAAATGAATTGCTGCTCTCTCTGGGGAAATGCTATGGGTTTTTAATACAAAATCTTGGAAAACCCAAGTCTCAGGAAAACCTTCCCCTCATTTCTTTGCATTTCAAATTGAAAGGCTTTTGGTTATATAAATAAATTGATCTTCTAGTAATTGGTTATTTGCAGAACCTGTAAGAAGATATACCATATCATAAGGGGTTGTGGCCCTGGCATGCATAAATGGGCCACAAGGAAATCTTAATAGTTTATACTCCTTGAACTGTTATGCCAAAGTTTTGTTTAATGCTTTTGTTTGGAGGGGGTATATAACCCTTACAGTATTCTCAAAGGTGCCTCAGGATCCCCCAAAATGTTAAAAGTTAGTGCCTTAAAAATTTCATAGTATGATATGAAATTTGTTTCTAATAGAGCTCACCTTGCTGGTGTGTAGCTGTGAGTGCTATGCATCCTAGTGATGGCAAGATCAAGACTCTGTTGACAACATGCAAATACTCCGGGTTAGTTCTCTCTCAGAGTTGAATGTCTGGCAGAGTACAGTTCTTTCTTTGCATTAAAAAAATGTTTGCCACGAATGAATGAACGGCATGGGATATTTAAAGTAGACCTTTAAAACTTTAGGATCCAGCAAGGGAAAAATACTCAGATATATCCTGAAACCAAGCGTTCCTGCTATATATTTCGCTCCTCATGTGTTTTTAAAGAAAATGGCACAAAATCAGATAGTCATGACTTAGCCTGAGGGGCTCCTTTTGGCCTGTTTTGAAGATAAAAGTAGTTATTGTATAACATAGAAACTACTGATTTTCCACAAATTTTTGTGGCTACAAATTGAGTGAGAAAGTAATGAGTTGTTACCAATAGTTAATATATTTTTAAAGTTTAAATTTACTATTACTCCAAATAACTGTCTAAACTACCCTCAACCGTTTAAATCATCCTTCTCATTTAAAGTTTAATCATCTATCCCAAAAGAAAGACTTAGTCACGTCCTGTATTTGCTTTCCGTTTCACATGATTTCCAGATTTCATAAATAGCCATTTTGTTCCAGTTCCTTCTTTCTGTGTTCACTATTGAATAATCTTACTTTTTCACACTTTATTATAACTTTATTGTAACAATTTGTTTTCATGTCTGTTTTCTCTACCAGCTCTTATTAATCTTTTTCATTGCCAGTTTCTAGGATCGATCTTGCTTGATATAATACAGGTACTCAGTGAATTCTTGTTGAATGAATGAATATTAACTTTCCCAGAAATTCCATCTGTTTTAATTTTTTTCTTCAATCTTTACATGTTGCATGATCTTCAGTTGGGTATTTCCTTTCTTGTTATAATTTCAGGTTTGTGCTTATTCTCTTTAAAATATACCGTTTCTGTTTTATAACTTTGATTAAAGCTGATAACTTTTATAGAAGGATTTTGTAGTATATATCCTTGACTGCTTCTCCTCAGATATGATTTTGATACTCAGTATGCCTTTGTTGGGGATTATTCTGGACAGATCACCCTGCTGAAGCTTGAACAGAACACCTGTTCAGTTATTACAACCCTCAAAGGACATGAAGGTAGGCTGTATAATCACTTGGAGGTTTTCTCCACCTAATCTGGGTATCCAACTTCACTTCTTAACTCTGGTTTCATGAATGATCAGCTCCTTATGACCCATCAGATTTAAATTTGATTGACCAGATACGGGATTTAGGATCTCAAAGAGTAGAAAGTAGGGTGTTGTGTTATCTTGTTTGCTTTTTAATTAAATTACTGTTTTTAGAAGACCTTTATAAAATTCCTTGTAAATGCCAAGACTTTTGGAGGAACTATTATTATTATTTTTTCATTTGTTAGTTTCCATGTCAGTTAACAAGACTTGTTAGATCAGTACCATTAGAGGAAATGTAGGGATGGTTGAGCCTCTATTTGGGAAACATACCCTGAGCGGGGACTGAGGGAAAAGAACTACTGAGTAGAATTTCATTATTCCTACAGTGCAGTGAGTTGATAAGGCTCTGTGGCAGGTCTTTGAAATTTCATTAGTTGCATTGGGTAATTCATCAAGTACAGATGTATAATAAAGACATCTCATTGGCTGCTAAGCTATAACACAATTTTTATATACAGCCCAGGATCAAATTCTGCTTTGAGTCACAAATTAGAAGCTTTGAGGCCATCTGGCTTCGACTGAAGACTTGGTGATTTGTTGAAACAAGTAGTGATGGACCTATTTAGGACAATAGTCAGTTTCTAGGTTTAACAAGTTAAATGTACTCTGTGCTTTCTAGCTAATCTGTTGAGGTGAAATAGACTGTATCAGATCAGGGACTTTGTAGGGGAAAAGGAAAAAAGGAGAATAGTAACTTCAGTTAGAATAGATTTAGGCCGGAAAGCACAACCCCTGAAGAAACCAGTTTTCCGTTTATGACTAATATTCTTATGACTCTCTGGGCTTGTAAGTATTCTCCGGGTTGCTAAGGGCAGAATGGGTTCTGGTAACTGAGTAGTATTCATATTGAAAGACCATGTTTGTCTGCTGCTAAGCCTCTAGCTGAAGTGTAGTATGGGACACAGGATGAAACAGGGTCAAGTTGCATGCAAAACTGATTCCTGTAACCAGCTTTCAGAATACTTCTTTTTTCAGTTTTGTTTTTGGAAAGTATATGTGAGAAACTAGTTTGTTTTTTGCTTCTGATTATGTCTACATCACTTTTCTATATACCCACCAAAAATATTGTTAGCTTGTGTGACTCATTCAGTTTCATTAAGTTGATTAATTTTTTTTCTAGGCAAGCAGCAGTCAGTGGAACAATGAAGAGATCTATTGAAAGAGAAATCTGTAGAAAGACAGATTTCCCCAAGGGTATCAAATTTGATAAGTTAGCCAATATAGAGTGTGAAATGTAAGGTTTGGATTTTTTTACCTAAGTTTTCTGATGTAATTGTGTGGTACACCTACAGACCTTTTTTTCTGAGGCACTTAGTTTAATTCTTTAAAAAAACAGACATCTTGGGGTAAACTGCCTGGAAAGTCCCAGAGACCTGGAATAATCTAGATTTTTATCTTATATTAGATGACCACAGTAAGCTTTACTGGTTGGCTTTCCTCATTAAATGTTACTAGCTATTTTTTTCTAAAAGTTTTTTCTGAACTAACCTGTCATATATTGCTACTATTATATATATATATATATATGTGTGTATGTGTATAGAACAAGGAAAAATCTGTTTTAAAATCTTTATATTCAAAGTAGTTTGATGTACAACAGAAAATCCCAATCTTACCACTTTGGATAATAGATGTGCTGTGTCTTCTCTGTATCTCCTGATAAAGTGTTGAATGACCCTTTGTACAGTGAAGATACATTTTTACTTAAAGACTCAAGTAGTCCTGATTCAGTCTTCAGCTATCAAATTTGTATGTCCTAATGTCCTGGTAGTGCAATGGTTAAGTGCTTGGCTGCAAACTGAAAGCTCAGTGGTTTGAACCCACCAGCTGCTCCATGAGAGAAAAGATCTGGCTATCTGCTGCCTTAAAGGTTTCAGCCTAGGAATCACTATGGGGCAGTCCTACTCTGTCCTACAGGGTCACTATGAGTCAGAGTCAATTCGACAACACACCGCAGTGTAGTTATACTTAATCTCCTTCTCTCTCTGACACTCCTAGGTAGTATTGCCTGCCTCTGGTGGGACCCCGTTCAGCGGTTACTCTTCTCAGGAGCGTCCGACAACAGCATCATCATGTGGGACATCGGAGGAAGGAAAGGCCGGACACTCTTGCTTCAGGGCCATCAGTGCGTGACTGGGAGGGAGGTGGATCTGAGCTTGGGGGGAGACAGGAAAACGTTAGTGTTCTGATACTGTAGAGATACAAATGAATCTCTCTCAAAGAGTAGAATTGGAGAACTTGCATATATTATTATAAAAACAGGTATCAGTGCCGTATGCTTAAATTATGAAGATCAAAGACGATTATTATTGTTCAGACTCCTAGTATATGTACTAGTTATCCCCTTCAAAGACATTTTGGGATTATGTACCTTAACTTCGTTTTAAGCATTTTTTATCAGCATGGCTAAACATCCAAACTCATACCCAGAGACACTGCTTTTCAAATTCCTTTTTATTTCTGAGGAGATAATCTCTTCCATATAAAGGTGGTCTTTGGTGTTGACATAATCTCCTTTATACTATATACATGGACAGTGCAAATCACCTTTTATATCCCGATTTTGAACTTTTGAACATTTTGATCTATTTTCTGGTGGTGCTGTGGGTCAGCCAGCAGTTCAGTTTTGACACAGTTAGCTTTTTATCTGTGTAGTAGTTTTTTTATTTTTTTTTTAATTGCATTTTGCTTTTTTATAAAAGTGAGTGGCAAATTAAAAAATAAAAATGTTGACACTGTTGGTAAGACTCCTATAGCACCTAAAATCAAGGCAGTTGAGACTAACGTATCAAGGTCGGGGTGGGGGGCCGTGTCCATCTTTTGTCCTCCTACATCCTCATGTCTAGCACATCACCTGACACTTAGTAGGTGCTCCATAGTAGTCACATTAAATTCCTGAAAATCACTGGGTGTGCCCAAAATACTAAATCTCCGTCTCTATTGGTTACTCTTTGGATTTTCTGGGCTGCTAAGGGCAGAATGGGTTCTGCTAACTGAGTAGTGTTCATATTGAAAGACCATGTTTATCTGCTACTAGGCCTCAACTAAAGTGTAGTATTGGATATAAATCAGTTGGCTCTGTGTTTGCATGTGACAGAAAAGTACAGACTTAAAGTTAACATGTACAAAATGCTGCAAATATACCACCGAAAATTGTATCTGCAAGGCAAGAGAAAGTCAGGATTTTATGATATTTTTAGCTTTCTGAGAAGGAAAGCCTACTCCACAAAACGTGTGTTATTAGCCGTCATGGCTGTTTTCTGTAACAAGTTAGGTGTGCAAATAGGAAGGGGCCTGTGGAGGTCTGTCCCTTTATTCGGGGAACTTGCTCTTTTTACTCTTGCCTGTGATCTTTCTGAAAGGAACCCTGGTGGTGCAGTGGTTAAGCCCTGGGCTGCTAATCGAGAGGTCTGCAGTGCAAACCCACCAGCCTCTCCACTAGAGAAAGATGTGGCTGTCTGTTTCTGTAAAGATTACAGCCTAACAACTCTATGGGGCAGTTTTTCTCTGTCCTATAGGGTCACTCTGAGTCAGAATCAACTCCACGGCAATGAGTTTTTTTGGTGATCTTTCTGGAGTTCTTTTTTTTTTTTTTTTCCTGGTTCATTATAATGCTTTGTGTTAGTTTATTATGAATTCAAACTGTAGTGCCCTTAAATAGTAATTACCACACAAGAGTGTTGTAAACTAGTTCAACCACTGAATTAACTTCAGTTACTGAGGGAAATAATTCATACCAAGAAAAATAGGTAGCAGCCATTTCCTTTTTTCTATGCTTATTAAGCAGTTCTTTCAGCTAGCTTGACTCGTCTCAAACGAGATACTTCTTTTTGAAGGGAAGCTTCTTTTTCACTGCAGTAGTACATGAATAGAGTGATCTGATAAGAATAAAGGAGCTATATTGACCTTGGATACGTTTTCTTTATTACTGTTTGAATCAGTATGCGCGTGGTTGAGACCTGACTGTCTTGGTTCAAATCTCGGCTTTCCTGAGCCGCATGGCTTGTGGCATGTTTCTTAACCTCTCTTGGCCTCTGTTTTCTCATCTACGAAATGAGGGTGAATAGGATCCACCTCTCAGAGCTGCTGTGAGGATTAGCTAAGTTCATCTACGTAAGGAGCTTAGAACAGTTTCTGGCATATAGTCAGCCCTCAGTGAGTGCCCATTGTTGTTATTATTGTTATTACTCTTATACTCTTATTAAAACACCTTGTTTTAAGAAGGTATTGAGGGTTTTTTTTTTTTAAATAATAACAATGTATAAGAAAATGATTTCCCAGATGTCATAACTGAAACAGGAGTTGAATCCCTGTCCTTTTAACTAATTTTTTCAAACCCCATCTTTTAAGATAGCAATTTGATAGGGCTCAGTACACTTTTTAACTACTTTTTCTAGTCTTGAGTATCTGGTGTTTGGTAACAAAACCTTCTTAGCCTAAAGAGCGCTTCCCACCTTTCTCGAGAAGTCCCCCCACCCCCCCATTGAAATATCTCCTTAAGGCAGATGTGGGTTAGAGACTGTAGGTGAAGATTTTGACCTTGGACAGTTGTGCGTAATGTGATACAAGAATATAAACCATTCTTGAACTGGATGCCGAACTAATGTATTTCATTAGGAAGGATTATTTTATGGTTTGGAGCAGTCAAAGTCACCGAGCTACGAAACTGTAATACTCAAGTCTTGACTGTTGCTCCAGGAACACTCTTTACATTGCCTTCTTGTTGGTTGAGCTGTAGTTGTTTACTGTAAACAGAATTAATTTGGAAACTAGCCAAGGAAAGATACTACACAAAAGTCCACATGCCAGGAGATGGTTTCCTCGGGCATCCAGAGAAGCAGTCTGGCAAGCAGGCAGAAAGGGGCAGATTTCTTCATCTTATCTCTGTGTGTGAGTCTTGAGCCCTTTAAAAAGAAATTATGATGATTTGTCCAGAAAACTGTAGTCCTCATCTCATCTCTGGCCTGCAGTTCTTAACAACTGATTTCAAAATAGTAGTGTTTGTTTTATAGAAACGATTATTCTATATAATGACTTACAGAACGCCATGTGGTTTCTACTGGAATCTATATGACCACAGCAAATAGAGTCAGTGATACAACGCCATTTGCAGATTCTAATGGGGGGAGAGATTTGAGCTGAAAGAAAAACCGTTTGTTTTTTCCCACGTTTAGAAAACTGACTGTCGTCTGTTTTGTTTGCAGTGACAGGGTGCAGTCACTGTGCTACCTTCAGCTCACGAGGCAGCTTGTTTCTTGCTCCTCGGATGGTGGCATTGCTGTGTGGAACATGGATGTTAACAGAGAAGAGGTAAGAGGAAAGAGCAGGGCAAGGCTGAGCAGGGCAAGGCCGAGCGAATCTGGCTTCTCAGTTTTCCACCCTATAGATGCCGACCTAGGCGTAGACAGTCCAGCCTCTTACTGTTCTGCTTATTGGTTATTGTCTGGCTATGTCCTGCATGCCATTTGCACTGCATCCTCTCCTCATGTGAGAGAGTGTCCACCCATGACAAGTAATGCACACAGTCAGAAGGAATGTTTAGGTGGGTAAGAAACACACTGAAAGGACACTTGGGAAAGCGTTCCTTTATACCAAGGAAAGTGGGAGGCAGGGTGGCATGGAGGCCCTCCACAAAGCTATCTGTAGTTCATAGCGCATCTCTCTATTTCTCTGCTCTTATTTTCCATTGAATTCTGCTCCACTGAGTCCACATCAACAGTGGTATATTAAAAAGCCACCTGACTGATATTCACGTAGTGCTCTTTTCAGACCTGCGTTTTAACCTTGGTTGTGCCACTAACTAGTTGTGAGATATTGGTTAAATAAGTGCTTTAATTTCTCTGAGTCTTCCATTTCTTCTCCCATAAAGTAAAATAGTTGAATAAGATGACTTCTAAGGTCTAAGGTCGGCATTTCAAATCCACCAGCCACTCTGTGGATACCCTATGAGGCAGTTCCACTCTGTCCTGTAAGGTCACTAGGAGTTGGAATTGACTTGATGGCAATGAGTATGTAAGGTCTATTCTGGTTCTTTTTAGATAGACACTAATTGTCTAAACAATTTCTCTCTCACGTTTTTTTTCTATTTTAAATAGTGCTGCAGTGAACATTCTTGACCTTGTACAATTGTTCAGTTGTTTATTTCAGACAAGTTTCTGAAAATAGACCTCTGTGTCCAAGAATGTATACATTCTTAAGGCTTTTTATAGCTGTTGTCATGATTTCCAGACAGGATGTACATCCTCACTCCTATTATCTGTCTTCTCTAATAGCATCTACAACCTGTGATGTAGATAGCAAAGGATGGGATGCCACTTAATCCAAAAATATCCCCTGAAGTCTTCTTAAAACCAAACAATAACTAGTAAAGAATGTCTGCCTTGAGCATCGTGCTATTTCAAGATCTATGTATATGGAATCAAATTGACAACAACCACTTGAAAGATTTGATAGGAACCTTAAGGGGCAGTGAGTTTATGTTAATGGAGGAGGAACAACTCAGAAAAGGAGGGTGAGAATAGTTGCACAACTCGAAGAATGTGATCAGTGTCACTATATTGTACACGTAGAAGCTGTTGAATTGGTGTATGTTTGACTGTGTATATTCTCAACCACAACAAAAACAAACAAAAAAAAAGATATGATGCCAGGGAAGATTTTAGAGTGCCAGTGGGATACTAATGACTTCTAGTTTAACTTCAGAAATATTGCACCCCTACCTACCAGCTGGCCATAAAGTCTGGAAACTTGGGTGAACGTGTGTAACGCGCGGTTCATTACTGCTGCATCGCAACAGCCAAGACGTTTGGCAGCGTCACGTGGTTTGCTCGGTGTGCTGTCCTTACAGCGGTGGATATTGCAGCGGGCTGTGCAGCGCTGCAGTGGACACCACACACTGATGCAGCATTCCCGTCAGACCTGCACATGTGTCTGTTTTGCGTGGCCTTAGACTGTGAGTCTGATTCTCGCTGAATAACCCTGAATCCTTAGCATACCCATGCATTAGTTTCCTAGGGCTGCCATTTATTGCCTCGCAATTTTGGAGGCTAGCAGTCAAAATTCAGAGTTTCTGGGTGGTACGACCAGTTAATACGCTCGGTTGCTAACTGAAATATTAGAGGTTTGAGTCCATCTGGAGGCACTTCAGAAGAAAGGCCTGGTGATCTGCTTCCAAAAAATAAGCCATTGTAGACCCCATGGAGCACAGTTCTGCTCTGACACATGGGGTTGTCATGAGTCGAAATCAACCTGACAGCACCTGACAACTGGTAAGTCCAAATTCAGGGTGTCAGCAGGGCCACATTCTCTCTGTAGGCTGTAGGGGAAGATCCTTTCTTATCTCTCTCTGCTTCTAGTGTTCTAGTGTTTATTGGCTTGAAGATAATAATCTTTCTCACACATGTACACATCTCTTTATCATTCTTTATTCCCTCCCTTCTCATTTCCAACATTTCTCCAGTTATTTCAAAGAAACCTCTCTTTTTTCTCAGTCTACTTCATTTTATTTGTTAATGTCTTCCCCACCCCTGCCCGGCCAAAGCCGTCCTCACTAATTAATGGCTGTCATATACACAGATATTTCTAGTGATTTGTCTAAAATAAAGGGAGCTCCGCTGGTGCAGTGGTTAAGAGCTACAGCTGCTAACCAAAAAGCTGGCAATTCAAATCCACCAGCCGCTCCTTGGAAACCCTATAGGGCAGTTCTGCTGTGTCCTACAGGGTCACTATGAGTTGGAATCAACTTGACAGCATGGGTTTTTTTTTGTTTTTTTTTTTAATCTAAAATAAGAAATAGCAAAGCCAGAAGTTTTGATACGTGAGGAAACATAATAATGAACGAGGAGCACCCACCCTTTAAACCACCAGAAATTCCCTTTAGAATCTCTGTAAAGTCTTTATCTTCACTGCATATTTTCTGAGATCAGTGTAATTCAGAAATTTTATGATTCCGCCATCATTGCCTCCTCTTATTAGATATACAGGAGAAAGAATCTCTTATTCCTTAATCTTTGTTTTGGTTTAATGTATAGAAAATAGTATCTTCTATTTTTATTGCCCCTTTTAACACCCAAGTGATGTTTGGGGTTAAGTAGACTTCTAATAGGTTCATCTTGTAATTGAATACAGTTTGTAATTTTTCGTTTAGAGGAATATTTCCTAAGTTCTAATAAAGTTGTTTTGAGAGTTCAGTTCATCTGTTTTGTCAACAATTTATGGGGAATCTACTCTGTTACAGACTGTGGATATCTAAAGATGAATAAGACCAGGCCTCTGCTTTCAAGAACTCATTGGCTAGTGGGGAAGGTGTGGGAAGAAACGGGTACAAATAACAGTACCAGTGAATCCACTGCTAGAGTAGGGGTCTGTAGGATGGCTTTCGGTGACACAGGAGCCAGAGACTTACTTTTGAGAGCTGGGAAAGGAGGGGTGACGAATCAGTCTGATGTGATGTTCACCTAGAAGAACTAGGCAACCTTTTTTTTTTTTTTTTCCTCCCGGGCCTGTCCTATCAGCCAGCGTGTGACCCGAGAGCCTTTCCAAGTGGCAGTTCACTAGATTCTGCAGGCAGTGGGTTTTCACTCAGCTGGATGTACATTTCAAACAACTGGCATCAGAAAGAAATATGTAAAGAAAGCTCTTCAGAGTTGACAGTGAAGATTGAATTATTCCCTCTTATCTGTAGATTAGATTCTGAACAGCCCTGTAAGCATTGCTGAAATTTTGTAGATTACTCAAAACACAATTAGACATAGTATTGAATATGGCAACCAGCTGTAAAATATTAAGGAATTAAAAAGAAATGCTAACTCCGACAAGGTCGAGAACAATTGTATTAATTTCTGTGTGAAGACAGGGCTGCATTGACGTTGGCTTTGATTGTCTCTACCCCACAGGCTCCTCAGTGGTTAGAAAGTGATTCTTGTCAGAAATGTGAGCAGCCCTTTTTCTGGAATTTAAAGCAGATGTGGGACACGAAAACTCTGGGGTTAAGACAGGTAAGTAGCCAATGCTGAGCCATCACTGGGTGTCATGTATTTTGTTATTTGTATAATTAATCTTTCTTTTTTGGAATCACACTTTGTTCCTGCAAATTCTGTTTATTTCTTCAATTTTCATATTACTTCCATCATGAGGCTAACAATGAGCAAGGTCTTTCCTGGGGTCATAAGACTGTTACATAATGATTCCATTGCTTCTCCTGCACTGGAAAAGCCGGGATGCATAGAAAATCTTGAGAGCCTGTTTGTAAATAGATAGAAGATTTTCAAGTTTAGGACTATTAATTGTTTAAGTCAGTATTTCATGCTTGACAATCAGAATTAGAGTAAATTAGGGCATACAATTATATGCCTTATGCTGACAGAAACAGAAAGTTAAGTGACAATTTAACTCTCAATAGAATACTCTGACCCTAAGAATTTGATCCTAAGTGGTGTAAACAGTTGACACACTCAGCTGCCAACTGAAAGGTTAGAAGTTTGAGTCCACCCAGAGGCATCTCAGAAGAAAGTCCTGGTAATCTACTTCCCAAAAATCAGTCATTGAAAACCTAGTGGAACACAGTTCTACTCTGCCACTCAAGGGGTCGCCATGAGTCAGAGTCGACTCTGTGGCAGCTGGTAAAGAATTTGAGATTATAGGGGACCTCATACCATCAAGAAAGCAGTGCCAGGAGCAGAGTGCGTCCTTTGGACCAGGGTCCCTGCGCTGAGAAGCTCCTAGTCCAGGGGACCACTGATAAGAAAGCCTTCCCCTGGAGCTGATGCCCGGAATTTGGACTTTTAGCCTACTTGATTGTGAAGAAATAAATTTCTCTTTGTTAAAGCCATCCACTTGTGGTATTTCTGTTGTAGCAGCACTAGATAACTAAGGCAGAATTTGGTACCGAGAGAGTGGGGTGCTGCTCTAACAGATACCTAAAATGTGGAAGCGGTTTTAAAACTGTGAATGGATAGACGTATGGCAGTGACAGAGGACCAGCAGCAGCAGAGAACCTACAGCAGCAGAGAAGCGGCAGCGGGAGAGAACCAACAGCAGCAGAACCAGGAGACCAGTGCGAGATGGTGCTGGAGCCGACCCACGGAGCGAGAGAGCTGAGTGCCTGTGTGCAGGAGGCTTCCTGGCAGAGTGGGGTGCCTCTGGGCACTTACATCGGTGGAGCTACAGAGCTTTGGAACACTTGCCCCAGCAGGGCAGATGGGAGCATGAGGCCCGAGGGCCAAGAGGCCACAGGAAACTGAAGCAGAAGCTGAAGAGACAAGGGACACAAGAAGCTGAGCTGCCTCAGTTTCAAAAGTTTCTCCCATTTGTAATGGAAATGTCTAGCTTGTGCCTGTTCTGCCATTGTACCTTTGGAAGCAGAGAACTTGTGTTCTAGATTTCACGGATGAAGAGGAATTTTTGGATTTTGGACTTGGAGTTAAGACTTTTGCTATGATATGATGGGGTGAATATGTTTTCCAGGTTGCAAGGATGTGATTTTGGGGGAGCCAAAGGGTGGAATGTCATGGTTTGAATTTTGTCCCCCCAAAAATGTGTATCAATTTGGCTAGGCCATGATTCCTGGTACTGTGTGATTTTCCTGTGTGTTGTAAACCGGCCTCTATGATGTTAATGAGGGAGGATGGGTGGCAGTTGTGTTAGTAAGGCAGGACCTGATCTACAAGACTGGATTGTGTCCTGAGGCAGTCTCTTGAGATATAAAAGACAGAAGTGAGCAGTGAGACAGGGGGACTTCATACCATCAAGAAAGCAGTGCCGGGAGCAGAGTGCGTCCTTTGGACCAGGGTCCCTGCGCCAAGAAGCTCCTAGCCCAGGGGAACACTGATGAGAAGGCCGACAGAGAGAGGAAGACTTCCCCTGGAGCTGATGCCCTGAATTTGGACTTTTAGCCTACTTGATTGTGAAGAAATAAATTTCTCTTTGTTAAAGCCAAAAAAAAAAGAATTTGAGATTATATTAAGTGGTTCCTTTACAACTATACCTGGAACATTTTTACTAAGTTGCTTTGAGTACTGTATTTCCTCTTTTAAATTAAAGAAGCATCCCTCACAGAGCCCATGAGTTTCAGAGAAGCTCTTAGCACTATGTATCCATGTAATACTAAAGTTCTACAAACAATATATTTCTACAGCAGCCTTGAAGGTAGCCACTCACTAAAGATGAGTATAAATTTGTGCTGGTGAGTAAAAAAGAATGCTGATTTCATGAGAGATTAGCCTGAAGTTTGTGTGAGTTAATAAACTTTCTTCGGCTTTACTTAACAAGGCTACTGTACAGTAAGGTCTAATACGAGACTAGCCGGCAATGCAGGGATCATTTTCAGCACTCATAACATTCGGCTGCTCTGAAACAGCATCTGACTTCTGTCATTAGCTGAGTTCTCGCAGTGCATGTGTGGTGGTAACTGGCGCATCATAATTGATGGGTGAAGTATTCCCTATGTCTAACAGAAACATGAAGAGAACAATTATACTCCTATGTGCTAACAACTAATAGAAGAGAATGGAAAGGTACAGGTCACTAATCTTTTAGTAGCAAAAGAATATTTCAAAATCAGTAATAATGATTGGACCATTTTGGAATGTTCTTGCAGCTTATTTCCAGGACCACAGCTTGAAAGATGAAATAGCAAAACATATGAATATGGGTATTAATTTTTTTAAATGTCTTGTTGAGGACAAATTACATCTAAAACTTTATTTCAAAACGTTTATCTGACATAGGAATAGATGTTTTCTTCCCGAAATCTCAGTGGGTTGGGCTCCTAAATGAATTTGGCTGTAACAGTGTTGTTTGTTGACATCTGGAGTCCCTGGGTGGTGCAAATGGTTAATGCACTCGGCTGCTAGCTGAAATGATGGAGATTCATTTCTATGTAGAGGTGCCTCGGAAGAAAGGCCTGGTGGTCTACTTCTGAAAAATCAGCCACTGAAAACCCTATGGAGCACAGTTCTACTCTGACACACACGGGGTCGCCATGAGTCAGAGTCAACTCTACAGCAACTGGTAAATGGTTGTTGACATCCAGACAAATAATATGAACGAATAAAAAACAGTATATGACCAATAAGGCAGGGTTGTTTGGAAATCCATACCAAGTGTCAAAATTGTCGATCTTTTGAGATTTAATTGGTACATTGAATCAGGGTGATTATAATTCCAGCAAATCTTCCCCCCTCCCATTCCCCAACTCTAAAAGGAACCCACGTGCATTAAAGCAAGGGTTAAACTCCTTGTTTTCCTCCCTCTGGTCCTCCTGGAAGCATCACTGCAGGAAATGCGGGCAGGCCGTATGCGGGAAGTGCAGCAGCAAGCGCTCCAGTTACCCCATCATGGGCTTCGAGTTCCAGGTCCGGGTGTGCGACTCCTGTTACGACTCCATCAAAGACGAAGAGTGAGTGTTACACATCTTAGCTTTATTGCACATCTGAAACGAGAAGAGCTTGAGAAATAATATTTCCACTTGCACGTTTGTCTCTGCTGAAGTTCATAAACAATTTCTAAAGAGAGGATTCTGCCCTAACATTATAACTTACGAGCACATTACTATTTATTCTCAAGCTGCTCCACCTGCTGGGGCAAATTTCTCCCGAGCACCGTCAGGAATGATGTTCCTAAGACCAGTTGACAGTTCAGGGGACGTTCCTGACCCACGTGCTCTGCAGGGAACTGTGCAGTGGCAACAGTGGCAGTTTGTCCATGTGCAAATTGATGGTAGTGGCTTAGCTGACAATCTCCCAAAAACACCCAGATCTCGAATCTTTGTTCACACATGTATGTAAATTTAATTGCTGGGAAAGCTCAAGAGAACAATGTTCTTTCTTCCACAAAACTCTGAGCTAGCAATCTATTCTCAGATAAGTATTTGTGTGTAAGAAATATCTCCGTCTTTGTGCCGTTTCCGTTCTTTCCTGACTCGGGCAGATCCACCATTTTACTCGCCTTCCCTTTGAACCATCTTTTAAAGTAGTAGACTGGCAAGCCTTGGCAGAGGCCCAAATTGGGAGGCTCGAGCATCGCCACAGGTGTTGGTAAATGAACTAGTGATCGAGGTCAGGGCTCTCAAGCTCCCCAGGCAGCGCTCGAGGTGGAGCTGTGGGGAGCGCTGTTCCACCGAGGGCAGAGCGGTTTTGGGGGATCCTGCTGGCTGCCCATGTACACTTTGCCCATGCCAGGTGGTCTCCTGCACCGAGGTTCCTCTTCTATACTAGATGTTCTTGTTTTTATGTTTCGGAATGTATCAGCCCTTCCTCCAAGAAAATAAACATCAGTTATTTTGGGTGTTCTATAAAACAGTCTTGCAACTTATCATGGCTTCTGCCATCCTTTAGTTAAGGATTCAGTTTTCAAAACTGTAGCCACATTTTTAGGAGCAAATTTTAACACTATTATTGTAAGTGTTTCTTTCATGCTGCAAAGTAAAGTTATTCCTTATCCCTGGTGGTGCAACAGTTAAGCGCTTGGCTGCTAACCAAAAGATTGGCTGTTCGAATCCACCCGGTGGTTCCATGGGAGAAAGACCTGGCAATCTGCTCCCATAAAGATCACAGGCTAGAAATCCCAGTGGAGCAGTTCTACACTGTCACACAGGGTCACTATGAGTCAAAATCAATTTGATGGCACTGAACAACTACAGGGACAGTCAGGTGAGTTTTAAATGATCTGTTTTATCTTTGTTAGTCGGACTTCTCTGGCAACCTTTCATGAAGGAAAACATAACATTTCCCACATGTCCATGGACGTTGCTAGGGGACTAATGGTGACCTGTGGGACCGATCGTGTTGTAAAGGTAACCTGGCTTACTTGTCTTAACTAGCATGTCAGTTTAGATGGCTCCATTCTGTGAACAGACTTAAGACATTTCTGTTGTAATTACCTTTCTGGTTGGCAAGCTTCCCTTTCCTGTTTGTAAGCAAACCATTGCCAGTTTAAAGGCCCAAGTAACAAACTGTGTACTTGTGAGTTTCCACTCCCCTGGTGGTGGTTAATCCCAAGGGAGTTCCCCTTTGCCACGTCAGTCTTACGGAGTGAGCTGGTAAGCCACTGGCACCTGTTAAATCACAGCCAGCACTGAGCAAGCCACTGCGTCTCTCCCTAACCACCCAGCCTGGGTCTTAGCAGGCCCCTTTCTCTCGTCATTCTTTCCCTTCCTAAAGTTGCTTTTCATCCTGGGCAGAAAGCTTCCTAATTCTAAGGAATAACCAGTTGTTGTTTTTTTTTTCCATTAAATCACTGGGTAACTAACACACAGATTGAAAAGTATTTTATATTTAGAACCACTCTTGAGTTGTGAAACTATAAAATATTTTATATCCCCAGAGGGCTTTTTTTAAAAAAAAATTAATTTATAGTAAAATATTAGCATGTAATTTTTCGGTGTTAAAATAATAATTATTACTATAGGCTTTTTTCATGTTTGGGTGGAGCACTTCTATCGCTATATAACTCTCGGGGAGATTTTGCAGTGACGAAAGAAGAGTGAGCGAATTCGTAGTTGTGACCCCTTTGCAAGTTTAGCAGCTGTTTGTTTTGCAGTGTTGACTTTGCCATTAGACAACGTGGCGGATGATGCCTTCTCCATGCATCTTATTTCTTTCGTAGATCTGGGACATGACGCCTGTGGTTGGTTGCAGTCTAGCAACTGGATTTTCTCCACCCTGATCCAGGAGCTGGGCGATCTATACACCTTACGAAAGCAACCTTCACCAAATGAAATCCTTCCCGTCTAGCTCCACAGTCACTATCGTGTAAATGGACAGTAGCCACTTAAATCAACATTTTTTAAAAGAAAAAACTGTAAAAGCACATTGTTGGGCACTTGTAGAACTACCTCTGGGACTAGTGTGGAAAAGGTTTCTCTGTAGTAGTTTGCTGGGGAATGGATTTACTTCAACATAATCTCGTGGACAATGAGCTACTGTGTACTGAAAGAATAATCTAGCAAATGAAAGTTTTGGAGGGAAAAAATTGAGCAAAAAAGTTAATGGCCTAGAACTTTCTCAAAGAAGTTCCAAGTGCAAACACACCTCTGCTCAGACTAAGTGGCTTTCCAAGGGCTGTTTGTGGCTCTGTTGGAGCAGAAATTAGGGGGAAGGAGGACTTGTTCTCTCTTTCTGGAGGGGTGGCAATAGGAATTTAAGAAACCAGAGATGTCTCCTTATCTTCTGGCAGTATGTGAATATTCTCTACACTTCGTTATTGATAACTTCTTACAGATATCTGTTCTCTTTAGGTAGTGCCATAATCTGCACTTAATGTTTGGCTCGCTTCGGTTATTTCTCTTCCTGGCCAATATGCCTGTGGGTAAATCTTTGCAGTTGTTGTTAAGTAAATTGTGAAATTTCTGTAATAACCAAGGCAGTCCACAGTCTGCCATTTCCCCCAAGTATGCTCTGAGGACAAAACTTTTTTTAATGGTGCTGTTAATATGGGGATCACACAAGCCGCCTGACCTTTTCTCATTGCAATTAGTAATGACGAACAGAAAACTTAGTTACCAGCATGATTGTAATGGGAAGTGGTCAGTCTGTTCCGTGGAACAGCCCAGTCCTCTTGCTCCTCACAATCTATTTATACTTCCCACATGAGCCCATGTAATGTTGCAACTTAATACACACCTCAGAAATGTACTCCAAAGCTTTTCAACTGTACTGACCTTCAGTTGTAACTTGTATTTCACAGAGAAAAACTGGTGACCCTGAACCGTAATTGTGAACCAGGTCTTACCTAATAATTGCCAACCCATAAATCCCCTTCATAGTAACTGGTAACATTTGTTGTACAAAATGGCATTTTTAAAGCTTTTGGCCGCTTAGTACCCGGATGGGGAAGAGGTGGCAAATTGGGAACCTATCATTTAATATTCAAATATTTATTTGTTTGTGTTTTACCAACAGAATGTGTATGTATTACTGTAGGGCTATGGGAGTAGAGAGGGGCCTACTTTTTTTTTAAGGACAAATTTATAAGTAGATAGCAACAATATTTTTGTTAGTTTTACTAATGTATGTTGATAAGAACTCACTGTTGCATCACTGGGTTGGGATCATATCAAGACAACATGGTCACTCTTACATGATAAAACTAAGGCACAGAATCTGTTTTATAACAACAGCTTAGAGGGACTATAACTTTTAAGAAGGCAGTTAAAAGAAGATGTTTTAATGGCCATGTGACACAAATGGCAAGGAAACAAAAGGAGGACAGGCACATCGTGTTCTAGTATGACCTGCATTAAAAGTTGACTTGTCTTCAGAAATAAGACGAAGGGTTTTGTTTGCTCTTTACAATTTTTGTGTTACATCACGCAGGAAAGATTTTCTTTTTAAAAGCTTTTCCTAGGTTCAACATAATCTGGAAGAAAAATTGAGTGATTTTAACTTTTAAACCACGATGTTGAATGTTAAACTTCTCTTATTAATTTTAGTCCAGTTCATTATTCAGCCCATACAAAGGTGCTATCCTGGACTTACTATTAAGTCCTGAAAGGAAAATAGAATGTGACTGAGCCCATGCCATGTTGAAGAGTGTATACTGTGGTTTTGTTTTCCCTTAACTTCTATAGAATGTGATTTTTTTTTTTTTTAATTTTATTTCTGTGGTGGATGGGCAGAATATTACAGCTGTGGAGAATGCTCCATAGCTTTCAATCTTTTCAATTTTTAAACAATGCTTAATGAAAAAAAAAAAAAAAACAGTATTCCATAGAGAACCTCCTAAGGCATTAAGTTAATACAAGTCAAGGACGAAATTTAAGGAAAAATTGGAGCAGCAAATCTTGGAAAGATTGTTTCAATATAGTTTTCTCTTTCCTGTGAGCCTATTATCATTTTTCTTTTTAAAAACACACATAGCCGACTTGTCTTATCCCTATCACACACTAGGTAACAAATGGGGTAATATTTTTTATAGAGGTGGGCAAAAACTATTTTCTCAATTTCACAGAATGGGAAGATAAGGAAGGTACAAGTAGGCTTATAGTTATTGCCTTATTTAGACGGCATTACTCTTAAACGGGTCATTTAAAGTAGTCATAAAGTAACAGCTTATTGGTCTTTCCATTACTGAACACTCAAAGCTTATTTGTACAAATAGGGATTACAAAATACAGAGTGTTGGAGAAGATCTTTATATTTAGATCTAGTATGTATGTGCTAAGGAAATGCCAATTGCTCATTATAAATATATTTTTAAATTTCCCTTTATTAGACCAAGTGATAGAAGTACGCCTATAGCATTAAGTAGAAACAAATTATTCATTACATTGTAACTCTATGTTTATGATGTCCTAGTTCTGTCCTGCTACCTAGAGGATATAAACAAAAACTATTGCTCTAAATATGTCACTTTGTTCTTATTCTTCCCCTAAAGAATTCAGCTTGTTAGTATCTACACTTTTAAACTGTTGAAACTGACCCAAGTGCGTAATAAATACCATAGTGACTCAGACCCAAGGCGATATTTTCTAAAATCATTTTTCAGTCAAGTACTTTCTACTTCTGTTACTGGATTTGGTATCTCCTAAAATGTAAGAAACCAGTTACTATTAATAGTTAACCACCTGCTCATTATAAATGTGAGGTTTAACAAATAAGTAATACATACTGTATTTATTCAAGTGTCTATTGCTTAATTGTTAAATATGAGATTATTGAATGCCTATTCTATTTTCTGCAGTTTACTGTACAATAACTTTGAGTAAATTGAAGTTTAACTGTGCAACAAATTTATATTAGAATACAATTTAAACCTTTTTTCTCTATAGTCTTTTTTTGACTGGGGAAGCAAAGGATAATGTTTATTAGTACCTTTTGTTCTTGTACTAGCTATGTTTCTATAAAATACGTGCCCTGTGTCTCCCAGAGAGGCTAGAAAGCTTTGTTCTTTGCTCCTGTTTGTGGTTCTGTTTTTGTGTGGTTTTGTTTGTTTTTTTGAGACTATGCATTTAATAAAGTGTTCCTTGCTTGTTTCCATGTTGCTTAATTTTGCTTTTGTTATGTTTGATCTGGGCATAGGGCAATAATAACAGCTAACATTTGTTCCGCACCCTTTGTGTGCTGGATGCTTTACCTACATTCTCTCAGTCAGTCCTGGCAGTGATTCTGCAAGGCATTATTTTCCCACTTTCCAGATGAGAAAACCAAGATTCCAACAAGTGAAAGCTTTCAAACTCTGTCTGACTTGAAAGCACGTGCTTTCTCCTTATCCCCTGCCTTAATGTGCCAGCATGCGATGCGTGTTTTATGTAAGGGAGTGTCTTAGGTCCCTGGTTCTGCCCTAACAAAATATACCACACATGGATGGCTTTAAAGGACAGAACTTTATTTTCTCACAGTCTGGAGGCTAAAAGTCCAAATCCGGGTCTCAGCGGTGTCGATCTCCCCTGTGGCCCTCTCTCCTAGTTTCTGCTGACTGCCAGCAATCTTTGGCGTTCTCTGCTTGTAGATGGATCTTCACGTGGTGTCTGTCTTGCGTGTGTGTGTTTGTGTCTGCGTCTATTCTGCCCTTTTTGTAAGATACCACTTCTAAGTGATTAAGACCCACCCCTATTCAGGCATGGCCTCATTAACATAAATCCCTATTCCCAAACTGGGTCCCTTACAAGTACAGGGCTTAGGGCCTACACATAACTTTTTGGGGGACAGTTCAGTCCATAACAGGGAGATAAGTATTATCGCCTGAAGTCTGTGAAGCCCTGCTTGAGCCATCATCCATCAGCATTGCTCTGGGTATCTAGGATTCACCTAGCCTGTGCTCTGGTCTTTTGCTTCAATGGCTCAGTGTTTGTGAGTAAACACAGGGTGGCTCAGACCCAGGAGAATTAATTCCTCGGCTAAACTACTAAGAGGTTGACTTAGGAAGTAGGAGGGCAGTTTATTGTGTTTCTCAAAAGAGGTAAAGCTTTGTTTTCTCTGATCAAAAATAGGTTTATTATAATGGAAAACAAAAAAAGATACAACAAAGTATATTTTTGAAAACCCTCTAATTCAGTCATCTGTAGAAAACACTGTTTAACCTGTGCTGTATGCCTCCAATGTTTTCTAATGCACGTCTACATATATAACACACACTTATAGATAGGTTTTTTTAATGGGACCGTGCTTTTTTTTCCCACTTGAGACAGTATGGATAGTTTGTCCATATCAAAAAACAGAGCACCGTGTTACCATTTTTACTGGCTGCAGAGTTGTAGGAGACATGAGTGTGGTGCCCTCAGTGTTCTTCCTCCTTCCTGTCAGGTGCTTAGACTGCACTTCTCTAACCCGTTGAGGTTAGGTAAGGTCATGTGACTTGCTTTAGAATGAAATGTGGGCAGAACATTTCATTGCTGGTGAGAGGCTGTACCACGGCAGTTTCTTCCATAACAGTCATGGAAGCTCGTGTTGAAAGAGGAGCGTGGCGCTGAGCCACCCCATGGAGCACAACTGCCCTGGAACTGCAGTGGGTTTTGCATGAGTAAGAAATAGATCTTGACTGTTTTAGTCCACTGAGGTAGTGTCTGTTGCTTTTAGTGCAACAGCATACAGTATTCCACTGTTCCATTATATGGCTAGACCATTATTTCACCCGCCTCATGCTGAAATTAAGGAGCCCTGGTGGCACAAAGTTCAAAACATTTGGCTGCTAACTGAAAGGTCTGAGGTTCAAACCTACCAGCAGCTCCTTGGGAGAAAAGACCTGGCAATCTGCTCCCGTAAAGATTACAGCCTAAGAAATCCTAGGGGGCAATTCTACTCTGTCACATGGCATCACATGAATCGGAATTGACTCGATGACAACAACATTTTGAAATTAGATTATTTATACATTCTTCAATTTATAATTTCTCTTTAAAAACACTAAACTGAGCATACTTTTATGTTCAGCCTACCCACTTTTCCTGTTTTTTTTAGGATAAATTTTTAGAAGTGAGAATTGCTAGCTCAAGGAATATGCATATTTTAAGTTTTTGATTCTCATTAATCATATCCTTAGCCATTGCCAACACTTGAATTTGTTCCTTTCAATTGGCAATAAAAAGTTATTTTTACATACCTTTATATAAAAGGTATATATATATATATATATTTAGTGTCTTATTTATGGAGTTCCAATTTATTAATTTATAATGAGAATTATACCTGCCAAGCCACCCAAGTATCTGTTGTTGTTAGGTGCCATCACATTGATTTTGACTCATAGTGAACCATGTGACAGAATAGAACTGCCCCATAGGGTTTTCTAGGCTGTTATCTTTATGGGAACAAATCACCAGATCTTTTCTCCTACAGAGCTGCTGGATGGGTTTGAACCACCAATCTTTTTGTTAGCAGCCAAGTACTTAACTGTTGTGCCACCAAGGCTCCTTCCAAATATCTGTAAGAGTCTATGTAGGAACCAAATCATCGCTGAAAGGAGCAGGATGCTGAGGAAGAAAGGTTGGCTGGATGATCTCGATGTCATCCAATAACCCGATGGATGCATCCCCGAGGGTACTGGAGTCAGCTGGTCTCTTCTCACCTGGAAAGTAGAAACACACCAGCAGGTTCTTGTTTTCTGGCTTTCCCTTTTTAGATTTCACCTATGTTACTCCTCATTTGTAAAAACATTCTCAGATGGATAATCCAAGTGCTTGAGTTACAGCTTTCTCATATATCACTTTTTAGTCCATGAGTCCCCCTGACTATCCTTGGATATCTCTCCATGTCTTTCTATTACACAGACAAACCATCCTGGGGAAGCTTATTTGCATGTTAACACATAGAATTCCTCATGAAAGTTGATACAGTCTGGGACCACCTTTTTGACTTCAGTCTTGTCATTTGTAATATGGAAATGGACCTCAAGAGATAACTTTCAAGGTCAAACCCAAGTGGAAAAATAATTCAGACTCTGGTCTATCTGATCTCAAAGCCCATGCTTATTTTTCTAGTAGCCCATACTGACTGTTTCATATTTGAAGAAATTTTAGATCTCGAATTTGACATGCTGGAGAAGGAAAAGGGAACAGGAATTTCTTTACACCAAAAGCAAGGTCAGAAGGTCTTGTACATCAACATATTTTCTCCCAGCCTGGCGTTTAAGGTTAAAGGGGACATTAGAACTCGATTCACCATTCATTTCTTCTGTAATCATGAATCAGTGGTGGCACTAATATAGGTGGCATCTGTGATGACATTTACAATGCCAAGTTTATTACAAACCAACCATTTCAAATATACTCTAAAGACAGTGATTCTTAATCCATGTTTTATGATACTCTATTTTATTGGAAGAAGAACAGCCCGAATGCTCCTTGGACGCGAGGATGGCGAGACTTCATCTCACATACTTTGGAAATGTTATCAGGAGGGACTAGTCCCTGGAGGACATCATTCTTGGTAAAGTAGAGGGTGGGCGAAAAAGAGGAAGATCCTCAATGAGATGGATTGACACAGTGGCTGCAACAATGGGTTCAAACAGAGCAATGATTGTGAGGATGGTGCAGGACTGGGCAGGGTTTCCTTCTGTTGTACATAAGGTCACTATGAGTAGGAAGAGACACGACGGTACTTAACAACAGTGTTTTAAGTTAGTTTGAAACTGTTTAAAAATTTCTTCTAGAAAGTAAATTTTTTTTCTATCTGAAATCGATTAACATTATTGCAACAGCAAGGAATGTTGGGGAGTCCAAAATCAAGCTAATGAATTTGAAAGAACTTGGGAATCACTCTTCTAGGGT